TAGTCTACTTTTCTAGCTACTCTTAGACCTATTTTATTTTAGTGTTAGTTACTTATAGCTACTATATTATCTCTAATAGCTTATTAGATAAAGTTTTATTATAGACTTATTTCTTTACTATAGCTAGTTTAGCTTATCTATATATAGTAACTTAAATATAGGTTACCCCCTAGACTTTTATCTAGAAAAAGGTATCCCTTTATAAGGGAATCTTAAATTAAATAACACTAATAAGGTCTATATTTAGTTACTTTTCTATATAATAGTCTAGTTATCTTAATAGCCTATTAGTAAGGTTATTCTTCCCTTATTAATAGTTAATAGTAAAGTTAAAAAGTGCTAAGTATATATACTACCTTACTTACTTACTATTTAACTTAAGTTATAATATAAACTATTTTAAGTTCTAATAATTAGTTAGGACTTCTACTAGTATTATTACCTTATCTATATAGTGTTACTAGGTTTTAAATAACTCTATAATTACTAGTATCTCCTAATCTAGCGTACTATAGTTTAGTTTTACTCCCTAGAGTTTCTAGGACTAAAAAGCCACTAAATACTAAAGGCCTTTATTACTAAGCTATAATAAGATCCCTATAGCTATATATTATAACGTATCTATCTTAATTTAAGTTAGCTTCTTAAGGTTAAAATAATAAAGTAATAAAGCTAATTAGAAAGTAAAACGTAGACTTCTAAATACTATATGTTTATTTCTTCTAAAGGCTAGATTCTTTATTTTCTTTCTATCCTTACTCTCTTTTAGTAGATTTATAAGGGGCTTAGCTATTTAAAAGTAACCCTTAATAAACCTTTTATAAAAGTTATAAAATCCTAAGAACACCTAGATATCTTAGAACGTCTAAGGTTCTAGCTAGGTAGTAATTACCTTTACTTATTAAAGGTCTATTAAGACCCCCTTATTTAATAAGTAAAACCTTAAGAACTTTACTTCTAATTTATAGAATTTATATTTCTTAGGGTTAGCGTATAGCCCTACTATTTATAGGCGTTTAAGCACCTATAGTAGGTGTTTTATATAGGACTTCCTATCTTTAGAGAAGATTAGGATATTATCTAGAAAATAAATATAGATATTATCTACTAGCCTCTTTAAGGTAAGATTTATATAACTCTAGAACGTTATAGGGGCGTTTATTAGGCTAAAAGGTAGGACTAAGTATTTATATAGTCTATATTAGGTTTAAAAGGCTGTTTTTTATTTATCTCCTTTTATAATTTAAATCTAATAGTACGCGTTCTTAATATTAATCTTTAAGAAATACCTAGACCTTATAATATAGTTAAAGATCTCTAAAATTAAGGGTAAAAGATAATAATTCTTAACTATAACCTTATTAAGACCTTAGTAATTAATATATAATTATAAAGATTTATCTTTTTTTAGAATAAATAAAACTATTACCCCTACTAAGCTTTATAACAGCTAGATCCTACCTAACCTTACGTTCTTATTAATATAGTCCTAGAGGGTTTATAGCTCTCTTAGTAATAAGAAGTAAATTAGCTCCTAAAGAGGTATAGTTCCTTTTATAAGGTCGATTTTATAATTAATATCCTAGTGCTATAAGAGTATTTACGTATTTAAAGGTTTTAGTATATCCTTTATTAATAATAATTCTAGTAAGATATCTATAGGTTTCCTTAGGTCTTCTAGCTTCTCCTTATCTAGTAAAGGAATTAACTTTAGAACTACTACTACTATAAATATCTTTAAAATAAATTAGGCTTTCTTAGTAAATTAGTAACTTTTTAAGACCTCTTAGGTCTTCTAGGTAGTAATTTTAAACTACTATATCTTATTTTTTCGAGGTCTAAGGGGATAATTATAATAAAGATAGTAGATATAGTTATTTATTATAAAAGCTAACCTAAAAAAGAAATAAGGTCCTAAGAATAACCTAAGATAATAAATAAAAAGATTTATAGACCTATTTAGATAAAAAGATAAGTATTACTATTATTTATTATCTTTAATACTTTAGAACTATAATATATATATAGTTATTACTATATATCTTATTTATTAGATATATATTATTATATTAAAGGCTATGCTATTAATCTTTAACTTCTTTTTAAAATCTCTTTTTATTAGGTCTAAGAATCACTAGGTCTACCTGTTTATATAAGTTTTATTACTCCCTAACGTTATTAGAGGTAGTAGTAGTTTTCCTACTTATTTATTTCTTTCTTTGTGTTAGTAGCTCTTTACCCTGCCTATTTTTAATATATATATCTTTAGTACCCTAGAGTAGATCTAGTTACTATTTATATATATCTACTTTTTTATACTCTTAGAGATAGAGTACTATAGAGAGTAAATCTCTCTAGGTCTATTTCTAGAAGTAAAGGTTATACTAGACGTCTTATATATATATAGTAGTGTTATATTAAGGTTATAAGTAAGGTTAATTTTAAGGTTAAATGTAAGGTTACAGTTATATAAGCCTTTATATCTAAGTTTCTTTTCTTATTAAGTTATTATATAAACCTTTTTAATACTATATTTTAATTATTACTTATATTTAGGCCTATTAAGTACTTAATTCTAGATAGCTATAGCTTATTTATACTAGCTATATATTAGTAATATATTAATAAGTAATTAGTATGTCTAGTATTATTTTAATTTATCTTACTTATACTAGTTACTTAAGAGAGGTAGAAGCTTAAGAATTATAAGAGTATTAGCTAGGGGCACTTAACTAAGTAGGGCTTAATAGTAGGCATTAGTATATTATAAGACTTAAGCTTATAGATTCTTTTTACTAGTGTATAACTATAGATAGAATCTATAGTAAGGTAGGTTACTAGGTGTTTAGTAACTAATCTTTAAGATCTATAGCTACTACTATAAATCCTATTACACTTACTTAAACTTTAAGCTAAAGACACTAATACTAGTAAACTTATGTCTAAGTAGCTTAGGCTTATAAGACCTAAAGACATCAATAATAGTACTAAAGAGCATATAAAGCTTTACCTTATTTAAAAAAAGGATTAATAACTATTAAAAAAGTTTACTAATACTAATATATAAGGTAATTTACTTATAGTTAAAAGGTATTAGTAAGTTAGTATATTAACTTACTATTATTAAAGCAAAGAACTATTAACTCCATATAAAGATAGAAATATTTAGTAAGCACTAAAGGGCTAAAAAGACCTAACTATATCTTAGAAGGTTACTTAATATAGCTAAAGTAAAGGTACTATAAGGAGAAAAGAAGGTTATTAAAGCTAAAGGTAAGGAAATGTCCTAAAAGAGAGGTTATATAGAGAGTAGTAAACTACTTATATAACAATATAGTTATTATAAAAAGAGTAAATATAATATATAAACCTATAAAGTAGTTTAGAATAGTAATAAAGAATAAGGTAACCTATAGTTTTAATTAATTTTATATAATATAGTTAAATTAACTTATTAAAATACTAAAAGAATAGATAGATATATACTACTTACTATAATATACTACTTACTATATATATATATTATAAGGATTATAATAGTTACTTAATTATGTTATATATTTATATAAATATTATTAAATTCTATAAGAATAGGGAAATCCCTCTATTCTTTAGCTAGGAAATTCTAGGCTAATCCTAGTAATATTATTAGTAAAATTAATATTAATATAGGGCTATTTTACTGCCTATTCCCTAGCAATTCGCTGTAAAGTAACTGTGTATTCGCTGGTTATTCCTTGTGTACTTTTGCTACATTTGACACTAAGCCTCTTATAATCTATAGCTATTATTATATACCCATAGGACTCTATAGGGCCTTAGTAGCCTTTAGGATTGGCTTGTTCTAACTATTAAAGGATTCTACTACTAGGAGAGAGTTTAAAACAAGAGCTAGATTTTATTTTTCTTCTAACACTATTAATAATTTCCAAGACTGTTCGTAATAAGGAGTCAATCAAAGCAGTAAGACAGTTTTGTGGGTGATGTAATAGTAAGTACCTGATGGTCGGTCAGGGCTGTATTCGGGGTTAAGTAGTGTTACCCTAGATACGGATATTACTTATATAAGTGTTCACCAGCGAATGTTTAGTCTGTCCCCATATGGCATTTAGGGCATTTAATGCAGTGTAGATCTTACGGACAAAGTGCTCATTTGAAGGCGTCTGGAGGGATGATGTGGTCAGCCTAACTGCTGGAATTTCCTGCATCAGGTAGCACCCAGAGGCAGCAGAGATGGCTCAATGTGCTCACTTTACTCAATATCCAGAATCAAAGCGAGGCCATCGTTCTCATCAAGCCAAGCTGAGGCGACCTGTTGAGGCAGAAGATAGTTGGCGTCCTTCGAGCTGTCAGACTGAACAGAGTACTGAGCCATCTCGAGGTATGTGCGAAAAACAGAAGATATCTACTCTTCGACGTCGCTGGTCCTATCGCTCGACTTGTGTAGTGAGTTTATCTGCTTCTTCAATACCCCCGAAACCATGGACGATATTCGTGGGAGAGAACCGAGGTACGTTTCCTTGACGATGTGGCTCATCCGGACATCGCCCCAACTTTAGCCGACGGGTACCTGCTGGATGGTCCAAGCATCGGGGATCATTCCGGGCACGTGGACCCGTCCTGCAGCTTGCGCCATCACCGTTTCAGACACCTCAGAGTACGTGTCTGCTAAGTGGGAACTCGGCTTTACTCACGATATAGTGCGGATAAGCGGTACCTCTCTAACGGATACCTTGAGTGATCGTCACTGACGTAGCGGGTTGGTTGTCCGGGGCATCCATCGGATAGAGCTCCCTGAAGCTATCTCAGGCACCCATGACCGTGACTCGCCAACACACGGCCCACCAGGCATATCCTCGATCCTCTCCCCGAGAAATTGAGAGCTGCCCAAGCATCAGCCTTCATTTCTTCTTCTCTCCCCTTTGCTTCCCGTCCTTATCATCACCAAACATCGCAGAAAACAAACCGCAACCATGGCGAAACACCGACCATCAACAGCAATGCTCCGACCTTCCTCCCTCATCGCCGCAGCAGCGCTCTGCCTGCCCCTCACATCCGCCTCTCAGCCTGGCGCCGCCTCTCCGATACCGGCCCCGATGCGCGACCTGACTTGGGGCCAGCTCAACTTCCTCCACACGACCGATACACACGGCTGGCTGGGCGGCCACCTTCTCGAGCCGCAGTACTCCGCCGACTGGGGCGACTACGTCTCATTCGCTGAGCACATGCGGCGGAAGGCCGACGAGCGCGGCGCTGACCTCCTCGTCATCGATACGGGTGACCGTGTCGAGGGCAATGGCCTCTATGACAGCTCGAGCCCCAAGGGCCTCTTCACCTACGACATCTTCCGCGAGCAGGCTGTCGACATCCTCTGCACCGGCAACCACGAACTCTACCAGGCTGACGCTGCCCAGCGCGAGCACGACATCACAGTGCCCAACTTCCGCGAAAACTATATTGCCAGCAACCTCGACTACATTGACCCCAAGACGGGCGACCGCGTGCCCCAGGCCCAGCGGTACCGCAAGTTCAAGACCAAGAACCAAGGGCTCGAAATCGTCGCTCTCGGCTTCCTCTTCGACTTCACGGGAAACGCCAACAACACTGTCGTTCAGCCGGTCGAGGATACCATCAAGTCGGATTGGTTCAAGAAGATGCTGGAGGAGGAGAAGCCCGATTTGTTTGTCGTCATCGGCCACGTCGGCCTGCGCATGCCCGAGTTCAAGGCCATCTTCACCGCCATCCGCAGGGGCAATTGGTTTGCGCCCATTGCCTTCTTCGGCGGCCACGCCCACGTCCGTGACGCCCTCAAATTTGACAAAGACGCTTTCGCCCTCGCCAGTGGGAGGTATGGCGAGACCATCGGGTGGATGTCGATTGACAACATCAAGAGGGCCAAGTCCGCGTCCGCCGCCGCCGAGGTCTCGGCAGAGATTGCGCCATCCGCCTCCTTCACGAGGAAGTACATTGACAACAACCTCTTCGGCCTCTACCATCACACCGGTCTCAACGAGATGACCTTCCCGACCGAGCGCGGCAAGAACGTTACCAAGATGATCGAGAAGGCCCGCAAGTCGCTCGACCTCGATTACAAGTACGGCTGCGCGCCCAAGGACCTGTGGGTCAACCGCGCCCCGTACCCAAGCGACGACAGCATTTTCACGTGGCTCGAAACGCAGGTGCTCCCGGACGTCATCCACAAGAAGGACAGGAAAGACGTCCCGCGCCTGGCCATCGTCAACACGGGCGGCCTACGCTTCGATATCTTCAAGGGAGCATTCACAAAGGACAGCACCTACATCGTATCGCCCTTTACCAGTACCTTCAAGTACATCCCCGACGTTCCGTACGGCGTGGCCAAGCGCGTCATCGAGCTCCTCAACAAGGCCGGCAAGATCTTCGAGGCGACGCACGATACCCGTTTCATGAACATACCCGAGATGATGTTCCCCAAAGACGACATGGTCATGTTGAAGACGGAGCAGGAGGGCGAGCCCCGCCGGCTCGAGCTGCGCCAGGAGACTGATCAGCACCCGCTGTCTGGTGACGACGACAAGTTCAAGAAGCCGGACCTCATCGGCGGGTACACCACCAAGGATGACATCGGTGCCGACGGCGACGACACGGAGCACGTGCCCATCCAGTTCTACGAGGTGCCCAACTGCGTGCAGACGGAGATTGGCTTCCCCAAGGAGGGCGAGCCGGAAAAGGTGGACGTTGTCTTCATTGACTTCATCCTGCAGTGGGTGCTTGTTGCCCTCAAGTTCAGCGGCGGCGACTACAGCGAGGAGCATGTGTTGACATGGTCGGACGACACGCTTACGTACAAGATGGGCGAGTGGATCAAGGAGAACTGGAAGGGAGACTGCTGAACGGGCTGGGCAGAGACAGAATTGTGCTGTACGGGCTCATATTAATGCTTGGCTGATGAATTAGGGTTCTGCCTAGGGGGTACATAGGCTCTTTTAGTAACAGTATTTTATAGTAAGGTTGTACCTTTTTTAAGCTTAATATAGTAATCTTATTCAGGCTAGTATAGTAGCACTTCTATTAATATAGTAAGGTTAAATAAGTGCTTAAATTTATTATATACTTATTATAAAAAGGCTACTACTACTATAGCTTACTTTACTTTTTTATTTTTCTTTAGTATTAGTGCTTTTCTAATATCCTTAAGGCTTACTACTATAATTTAAAAAAAAGCCCCTTACTTAGAGGTAGCTAAACTAGTACTATATTATCTTACTTTTTCTAAGTAGGCTATAAAGTAATATAATACTATAAATAAAAGTACTTTAATAATACCTATAGTATAGATTTTATATACTTTTTTTAACTTATATTAGCCTACTACTTATAAGGTAAGGTCTATATATTTATAATAAATAGTACTTTTTACTATATTAAAAATAACCTTATTAGCCCTTATCTAAGGCTTCTTTAAGAAGATATCTTAATTTAATCTAAGTACTATATATATATATATATATATTATTAGTACTTACTAAGTTTAAGGTTAAATATAATAACGCCTCTTATTAATATATATTAAAAGCTTTTAGTAAACCTTTTTAATAAGGTTTTATATTATAAAATATATAAAAAGTACTATTTTTCTATTAACTTACTATTTACTATTATATAAGTGTTATAGCTAGTATTAGTAAAGGCTAGTATTAGTAAAGGCTTAAGTAAAGAAACTTTTATTAACTAAGGTATCTAATAATATAAATAATCTAATTATTTTCTTTATATATAAAAACTTCTTTTATCTTTTATGTTTTTTACTTATTAGCTTTAAGGCCTAATTTTATTCTAAAGTTATTTTTTTCCTAACTTATTACTAAAGTTTAATTCTTTTTTATTATTTTTACTTTTTATAAGCTTTTTAACTTATATAGTAGTTATCTTAGCTATATATACTAAGGTGCTATTATAGTTTCTTATAAAGTAACCTAGCCTTTAGTAGTTATAGTAAGTCTTAGTTTTATCCTTTATATATACCTTATTTATAGGCTTTATAACCTTTTTACTTCTAGTAGTAGATTTATTAGTATCTTAAGCTAATCTTACTATTATAGTATTTTTATTAGTATTTTTATATAAAAGGTAGGTAAGGTAGTATATATATATAACCTTAGTAAGGTCCTTAACTTTCTAGGCTACTTTACTAATCTAGGTAATATAGGTATTATAGCCTTTTAAGAGGGATATACTTACTAAGGTAGTATAAAAGTATACTAAAAGCGTGCTTATAAGTAAAGCTATAAAGGCGCTATTATCTTATAACTACTTACTTACCTTTATAAAGGTCTATTTAAACTTAAGGTAGAAAAGAAAAATATTTTAGTTTTTTTTATATATAGATTAATAAGTATAGTAGCTATATATTATCTCTTATTAGGATTACTATAAGTATATTCTAGGTAATATAAGAATTCTTTTAGCTTATAGTTATATAGTATTTTACTTTTCTTATAAAAGGTTAAGACTATATACTAAAGGCTAATCTCTAAGTAAGAGTTAATAAAATACTACACTTTATACTTACTAGTAAAGAAGTTATAATTAATTTTTACTTTATTATATATTTATTACTACTATAGTAAAAGATTATAGTGTAATCTAGAAAACTTTAGGAGTAGTAGTAATAGCTTTTAGTATAGTAGTATAGTATTAAGTTACTATATACTTATTAGAAAGTAGTACTAGCCTTTTATATATTTAAGCTTATAATAAATAAATTAAATAGTATAGTATTTATAGCGCTTATATAATAACTTTATAATAAGAATATAAAGTTAAGAGATAATATAAGGTCTTTTTATACTATAGTAAAAGAGATATACTATAAGGTAGTAAGTATATATAATATACTTACCCTTAATAATAATATAAGTACTAAATTAGTAGCTAGTAACACTACTATAGGCTATACTACACCTACTATACCTATTAGTATACTACTATACTAAAAGCTATTACTACTAACCCTAAGGTTTTCTAGATTACACTATAATTTTTTACTATAGTAGTAATAAATATATAATAAAGTAGAGATTAATTATAACTTCTTTACTAGTAAGTATAAAGTATAGTATTTTATTAACTTTTACTTAGAGATTAGCCTTTAGTATATAATCTTAACTTTTTATAAGAAAAGTAAGATACTATATAACTATAAGCTAAAAGAATTCTTATATTATTTAGAATACACCTATAGTAATCCTAATAAGAGATAATATATAGCTACTATACTTATTAATCTATATATAAATAAGACTAAAATATTTTCTTTTTATACCTTAAGTTTAAATAGACCTTTATAAAAGTAAGTAAGTAGTTATAAGATAATAGTATCTCTATAGCTTTACTTATTAATACGCTTTTAGTATACCTTTATGCTACCTTAGTAAGTATGTCCCTCTTAGAGGGCTATAACGCCTATATTACTTAGATTAGTAAAGTAGCCTAAAAGGTTAAAGACCTTACTAAAGTTATATATATATATACTACCTTACTTACCTTTTATATAAAAATACTAATAAAGATACTATAATAGTAAGATTAGCCTAAGACGCTAATAAATCTACTACTAGAGGTAAAAAGGTTATAAAGCTTATAAGAAAAGTATATATAAAGTATAAAACTAGGACTTACTATAACTACTATAAGCTAGGTTACTTTATAAAGAACTATAATAGTATACTAGTATATATAGCTAAAATAACTACTATATAAGTTAAAAAGCCTATAAAAAGTAAAAATAATAAAAAAGAAATAAACTTTAGTAATAAGTTAGAAAAAGAATAACTTTAGAATAGAATTAGGCCTTAGAGCTAATAAGTAAAGAATATAAAGGATAAGAGAAGTTTTTATATATAAAGAAAATAATTAGATTATTTATATTATTAAATACTTAGGTTAATAAAGGTTTCTTTACTTAAGCCCTTACTAATACTAGCTATAATACTTATATAATAGTAAATAGTAACTTTATAAAAAAATAGTACTTTTTATATATATTATAATATAAAACCTTATTAAAAGGATTTACTAAGGACTCTTAGTATATATTAATAATAAGTATTATTATATCTAACCTTAAACTTAGTAAGTACTAATAATATATATATATATATATATATAGTACTTAGATTAAATTAAGATATTTCTTTAGGGAAGGCCTAAATAAAAACTAATTAGGTTATCCTTAATATAGTAAAAAGCACTATTTACTATAAATATATAAACCTTACCTTATAATTAGTAAGCTAATATAAGTTAGAGAAGGTATATAAAATCTATACTATAGGCGTTATTAAAGTGCCTTTATTTATAGCGTTATATTACTATATAGCCTACTTAGAAAAAGTAAAATAATATAGTACTACTTTAGCTACCTCTAAGTAAGAGGCCTTCTTTTAAGTTATAGTAGTAAGCCTTAAGGATATTAAAAAAGCACTAATATTAAAAGAAAATAAAAAGGTAAAGTAAGCTATAGTAGTAGTAGCCTTTTTATAATAAGTATATAATAAATTTAAGGGCCTATTTAACTATACTATATTAATAAAAGTACTACTTTACTAGCCTAAATAAGATTACTATATTAAGCTTAAAAAAGGTATAACCTTATTATAAAGACTACTTTATAGTATATTATATAAAGAGCTATTAGTCTTAAAGAAAATACTTAAGGATTTCCTAGATTAAGGATTTATTTATATAAGTAACTTTACTACTAGGGCACTAGTACTATTTATATAAAAACTAGGTAGTAAATTATACTTTTATTATAACTACTATATACTAAATATAATTACTAAGAAGGACTATTATCTTTTACTACTAATTATAAAAACACTTTAATATATATATACTACTAAATAGTATACTAAGGTAGATATTATAGCTACTTTTTATAAAATAAAAATAGCTAAGAGAGATAAGTATAAGACTATATTTTAAATATAATATAGGCTCCTTAAATAGTTAGTCTACTTTTCTAGCCTTATAAATATACTTACTAGTTAGTAATACTTTATTAATAATATACTATATAAGTTTTTAAATAACTTCTTTACTATTTATATTAATAATATCCTTATCTATACTAATAGTATAAGATAAGACTATAAAGATAAAGTTAGAAAAGTCTTTATAAGGCTATATATAGTAAGACTTAGCCTTAATATAGTAAAAAGTAAGTTTAGTGTTAAGAAAGTAAAGTATATTAGCTTTATACTAAAAGCTAGTAAAGGTATATTAGTAAACTTTAAAAAGATATATACTATTTCTAAATAGTTAGTACCTAAATTAGTATAAGGTATATATAGTCTTTTAGGCTTTACTAACTATTACTATATATTTATAAATAACTACTTAGAGATTATAGTACCTTTTATAAAGTTAATAAAGAAGGATATAGTATTTTAATAAGATAATAACTATAAGAAAGCCTTTTATAAAATAAATATATACTTCTAGTGTGCCCCTATACTTTATAACTTTAATCTAGAAGTACTAATATATATTAAGACTAACTACTTAGTCTATACTACTAGAGAAGTGCTTATATAAGTAGATATAAAGAGGTATTACTAACTAGTTACTTTTTACTTATATAAGCTTACCTCTAGTTATTATAACTATCTTATTTATAACAAAGAGCTACTAGTAGTAATTAACTGTCTCTAAGCCTAGAGATTAAAGCTATAAAGCGTAAAAAGCGTATTTATAGTTATAATAGACTATAAGTCCCTAGAGTTTTTTATAAAGAAGTAAAAGTTAATAAAGTTCTGCCCGGTAGGCCAGTCTATCTGATTATGAACGCGTAAGAGACACTTGGTGATAAGTCCCCCTTTCGTGATAC